TTGAAGCCAGCTGGATAGATTTGAGTGATTAGTGGTCAACAGTACCGAGTTGCATTCCAAGTCTGTAAAATCGTTTAGGGCTTGCCTTATAATCTACCGGTTACCGACACAGAGCAGTATTGTATACAGCATAACGTTGAGCAACAAGGAAATCAATTAAATAAACCAGTACAAACCATTCTAAGATGGGTTCTTTGCATTGTTGTTGCTAGTTTTGGACCATTTGCATGTGGGCACATTAATTATCTCCTTGTACAGTACAATCAGTATCACAATTCCTCCAATTTCTTACCCCAGCATCTTGACCAGGGCAGGGATGCCTCCAGACTTGAAGATAGCAAGGAGCCCCTCACGATGGTGGGAAAGGTTGTGCAAAGTGCCAGCAGAGCAGCGTGCTGTCTCCACATCACCGGTGTTCTGCATGGCACGTACAACAGCCGAAACCATCTGTGGCGAACGCATGAGGGCGTGGCGCGAAGCCTCCTTCTTGGACAACTGATGCACCATTACGGCTGCCTTGTTAACAACAACCTAGTACAGAGGCAATAATTGTTAGTGAGGAAGGTTCTAGGGAGGAATGTAAACTACACTTTTAACAGTTTACATGGTACAGTGAGTTACTCAGACTATTTTAGCATTTGTACATGTTGATGTGATAATTCACTCATTCAAAGTTCAAAGTGTTTATTTGTCATATGCACAGTTAGGAAACATGTTTCCCTGTACAATGAAATTCTTACTTTGCTGTCCACATGAATGCCACAAAATACAAATGAAATATAATAATGTAGATAAATAACACAAAATCTAAGGCACTTTAAGCAGCACAGATGCAGCAATAAAGTAGAAAAAAATATATACAAGAATATAACAGAATGTATGCTGCATGGGAGCAGCATGTGCAGCAGTCAACAGTCATTGTGCAATTTGTACACATACCTGGTCCTCATCGTTGAGCAGTTTGGTAAGCTCAGGAATGGCACGTGTGGCCAGCTCAGCATCATCCTGATAATTAATGAGGTTGACCACGGCATGCTTCAGCATCTGAGAGGGCTCTGCCAAGCGCTGCACTGCTGTGGGGTGGGCAGCATCCAGCTGGGTAGGTGGGATCTGGAGGCCCTCCTCCAAGGTCTCTGGGAACATGGCAGCACGCACACGCTGCGCCCGGGTCATGGCATACCCCTCTATGTCTGATAGTCGTGCGATATAATAAATAATTTACGATTATTGAAATCTGTCCTTCATTATACATTCTGCTATATCATTTATGCCATATACAGATCTGCCAACCTTGACCGTACCACCCATCCAGGGGATATTGCAATTTTACCCCTTTTACTTCATAACACATAAACATTGCTCTGAAAATGCACATCACTCCAATTTTTAACTTGCAGATGACTGATGCCAATATCAGTAACATTACTGCAGACAGCAAACACAACAGTAAGGAAGTCTGGAGATCTGAAGCATAGCCATCTCTCCACGGTAACTTTCTAATTCCCGCAGCATGTGCCTTACCATGATGCTCATTACGATTCTACTGTAATATTTAAGCTAATATTGTGAATAGTATGAAAAGTCACACCTAACCACAAGGATGATCTAACTTATTTTGCCAGCTTAAATGGTAAATAAGTGAGCATAGCTGCTACACAAATTTGCAAAAGGGTTGGCAGGTCTGCATGTCCCACATCTAATAACAAATATCTAACCAGTATGTCATATACCTGTGGCCTCAGGAGTAAAGGGCTGGTTGAACTCCCAGTCGTAGAGGGTGGGATCATCCTCCTCAGCATCAGGGTTCCCCTTGCCACTCAGAGATGGTGCAGTGGTGGTAACTCCAGACTGGATGCCTGAGTCCAGGTAGGACTGCTGCTGCCACTGGCTGACAGCAGCCTTACTGTCTCCCATTGCCATGTCCAACTCCATCAAATCAGCTGCACAATAAAAGGTGAAGATTAGTCTTTAAATTAGCTTCTTACTTTAAGCCAAGAATAATTTAAAACATTTATATTGCTACAGTAATCTTATACATAATGTGTGAAAGGTAATGAAGATATAAAATGTAGGAAATAAATAGTTTGAAGTTAGCTGTTGTGAAAATAAGAGTGACAAGAAAAAACGTAATCCTAAAAGCAAACAAACGAACAGCACAAAAAGGAAAAGCTTGTGTTCCTTGATGCCTGATATCTTCATACACTGATCATAAAGTCAAGTGTCCTCTTACAATACTTCTAATTTTTGTTTCATGAAAAATAAACTCAAATGTAACAGAGGACATATAATAATTTATTGGGATACTACGACAAGGCGCTCACCTAGATCCCATTTCTCAGTTTCAATAGTACTTCAAGGCTTACAATATTCATTTTTTGTACAGAGAAACTTGTGTATGGACATAGACATAAATTATCGATGGCCCTATTCATATTTACGTAACATTCATTTATCTTGCTTGTTTGAAGTTTTTCCCATACTTACACTGTGTAGCCATTGTTCTTGCCTGCCCACAGCCTGCACAGCAGATATATCTGTGTAAAAGGAAATAAGTACAGGGGGTTAAATGAGACAACTTACGCCCAACCTTGAGTTCTTGTTTGCCAAAGCCAAACCAAGTCGTAATGTTTATGCGTTTCCCCTACGTGGTCTCGATGATAAAACCGCTGGCGTCGGCGTTACCTGTGCCAACTCACTCTGATTCAGACGCTTGTTTGATTTGCTGTCGTTTTGAAGGGAAATGCCGAGCCTCCACCCCCAGTCGAGAAATTAATGCTGTGGGTATTTCCAGGCCAGCACGAACACAATTCACCATTCAGTGGCAAAGAACATCAAAAGCATATTTCACCCCCTCCCCCGAGCACGGCCAAGTTCTGACCTCGCAGCTTGGGTTTCCACTGAGAGAAACTACCTCCGCCCGCAAACACTTCCATGACTCCTCTCTTCTGACTACGAGTGTAACACGCTGCCTAATAAACACTAAACATAACCCCCCCTATGTTACATCAACCAAATACATTTTATTGGCATATAGCTAATTCATGACCGAAGCGCTATCACGTATTACCCACCACTGGTTACTAACAGGTTGACTATCTTACCTTGAAAGCTCGCTAAGCTATGAGCTAACCTAAGGTGTGTAGCTAATCCCTCCGCTAGTTAGCTAACATAAACAAACACGGTTTAGAAATGTACTTATAAAGTCCAAATACTTACTACATGACAGAGATGCAACTAATACTGGAAGCTGTTATCGCTACACATCGGTTCATTATTGGACTCGTGTTACCAAGCAAACCCTCCAAATGGTTAATTCTGGTCTGCTTAGCTTATCTTAGCTTAGCATATCTTAGCTAGCCAGGACATATGAAAAGTAGATCCAAGCGCCACCGTACAAAACCTGCTGTACTGCCAGCCAAATCAGAAACCCCCACCGGAGCCCCCTCCCTAGCCAAAAATGATTTTCTTTGGTGAACCATACATTGACGCGCTATACATGCTTTACACGATAGCTGTAGAAAACATACGATCTTTACCAGAGTCGAGCAGCACCTCCGTGATTCTTGTCAGAAAAGCCTTCTTCTTTCTCTCGGCTGAAAATAGGAAAAAGGCTGCTAGGTGAACCACCCGTAGAAGTCCGAACCACACCCGCTGCTGCTCCGCCGAAGATGTTGCTTCCGCCTGTGCGATCGAACATCAAGATGGCGAAGGAGAAAATACAATATTCTGCCGCACTAGGAAAAATAGGTCGCATTTAAATACAGTATCCAAACTATTATCTTACAGCATTTGCCATATATTGACAAGAGCAGCAGGTCATTTCCGTTTAGACATTTTTCACTTTTACATAAAATATAGTGGTAGTGTGGCGAAAGGATTCATGAGTTGCAGTGCTGTGATGTGACAGGTTTAATTAACATGCAGTTAGCTCAGATACACAACCCCTATCATTCATCCATTTATTTATCTTATTCGGTTAGCTCTTAAATTGGCCAACATGGCTACTTGTAAATCATCTCTCTCATTCCTCACAGTTGCACATACATTTAAACTGGGATTTATTTTGCAAATACGCTTAAATGAAGAAAAGATAATTAAAATTAGAGAAGTTAACAATACATAATTACGTGTCAAATGAATGAGCGTTCCTAAAATAGAAGCAATTAAGGATGGTGTGGAATTTCATGAATGAATTTTAGGCTTCTATTGAACCCTGTTCCCATGATGACATAGTGTAGGGATTGTTTTTATAGTCAAAAACTACTGAAATAAATAGATAAATAAAAATGCAACAGCCACAGTAACAGCGTACTTTGCTGTGGTTTGATGTCTCATTAGTTGTATTTTTGTGACAAGAACTGCACAACTTATGGTATGAGTTGTGATTCCAATCCATTTGAGCTGTAATCTAACTGAAATGCACAAGTGTATAAAACTGTCCAACAGTCACATGTACATCTGTTTTGGTTGAGAAGCTGACGCAAAGTGTCATGCATAGTATAATACATGTTCATGTGTCTGACACATGACATTCACCACAAAAGGTCAAAGTCCAAAGTGTCATTAGAGAGCATAGGCAGGGAAATGAAAAGGAAACCTATGCTCATTTATTGTAGTACAGTAATCAACTGAATCCCTTTCTATTCCTATCATCTCTCAAAAATAAAAAGATCTCCACGTCACATGTTTGGAAGAGCAAATGGGAGTGTGAAAATATATTTCATACACTGCTAAAATGATAAGAATCAGGCTTACTGGCCAGGTATGTTGAACCCATGAGGAATTTGACTCCAGTTCTCAATGTGGTCAATGTGTGTTCTGAATGAAGAAAGAGCACAGTAAATAGAAAAGACAACAAAGAATAACTAGGCAAGGTCATCTAGCTGAAGGATCCTCAACTGCAAAATGTTTTTATCCTTTGTAACATTTCAAAGTATCACTTTTTATTTGTGGAGTGTGGTGAGAAGGAATGATTTTAGCAAAGAAACCAAGCAGTCAGGTGGATGAATCCGAATAAATACACCTTTTATTTGACTGATTATACAAACGCCAACACAGAGCTCTGAAATAACAGGACCAATCAGCAAGACAATGACTGTACATTCTTGATTTGACTCTCCCATGTTCCCTTGCCCACCCAGCCTGCAGTAACTATGGAACTGAAGCACTAGTGCTTCTTTCTGTACAAGTAAAGCTCAGCTACTCGCCCACCCTCTACCACCCTTCCTTTTCTGTGCCCAGTCTTATCTACAGGTTTGAATAGTATGTACCACAAGGAGAAGCTTGGCCAGTTGTAGAACTGGGCTCCATGATGGACCTTAGGTGCTTTCAAAATAGGAATAGTACATGAGTGTAGTATCTTTTTTTGTCAGGTCTGGTTTGTGTAGTTTAGCAGACAGGACTGCTATAATAATAGTGTATGCAAAGTTTTTAGAGCTTGTAGTGTAAGAGCATAGTAATGCTTTTTCCTTGTGTCTTGGTTGAAATGCAAAGAGCCAAAAATGTTTTGACAAACAAGTCTAGGTTGAAGTAACTTCCTTCATTTTCTCTGTGTCACTCACACATCCTCCTAAACTCATAGGAATACTGGTAGGTTTGTCCCTTCATTAAAAAAACAAAAACAAAACTGTTTGCAAATTTGTTTCAGACATTTTTTTGTTCTCATTCTGTTCCTCTGGGCAAGCTTGACTTACCCCACCAACATTAAAACATACAATCATCCCTATAATACCTAAGTGCAGTTTCTTGCACCCTTCAGTAGTTCCTAAAGTAAAAACAATAACTGTACCATCACAATAAATGGATGGATAAAACACCCTCACTTTCATCCTTGCAATCCATCTTTTTTTAACCCACCTCTTCTCATCCCAACCTTCGCACCCTCATTGGTTCCCCATAGCCATTTACTCTCATTTAGCAGACAATCTTGTATGTGACAGTGACAAATACTCGCCCTCAGCATTAACAGCCAGGCAAAGAAGAGGGAGGAGGGGGAAGGAGAATAAGATGTGGAAGAAAGTGCAGGGGAAGAGAGGGCAAATTCTTCTCCCTGAGGGGAGAGAAAGAGAGGAACAGACAATCTGTGCGTCCACCCCTGCTTTTCTCCTATGCCCCTCTTTCGTCCCACATCTTTGTGATGAGGTGGAGGGGTCAGAGCGGAGAGAGGAAGGTCAAGGGAGATGGTGGGTTGAGTGAAGTGTGAAGGAGGAGAGAGGAGGAGAGCAAGGGTCAAGAGTGTTGGCCTTCATGTGTCCTGACCATCGGTGGCAGGGGTCTCGTTGACATTGGGCAGGTCTGAGTCAGTCTCCCGGTTGGATATGCGGTCCAGCTCCGCCTGTACATCACTCAGGCCCAGCTTGGAACCTGCAACAAGTGTGGGTAGATATATATAAATGTGTCAGTTAGGACATAGAGGCACAGGCATTTATCCAGTGCATCGCTGAGTGATTAAAGTACAACGCACTAGGCACAGAGACAATTACACATGGCCAAACAAAATAAGGGCTGGGTTAAAATCGGGTATTGCATTACAGTAACAAAAGTTTAACGATGTCATACATTTCTACCTCATGCTTTTTATGTGCAAACAGATCTCAATTCATACATTGGTAATACTCGGAGTATTTCCGCTTTATACGATTGTTCTGACTGCAACTCAGTGAAAAATGTTCTTTAATTTAGACTCAAGCTTTAACTTTCCCTTAAATACTGGCTGAACTAACAATTTATAATGTTTATATTCTCCTGGAGCTTTTCACAGACTCCTTGATATTAAAAAAAAAAAATAAAAGGTTATAACTGGAAAATAGCTGCCTGGAGCCATCTGAGAGTAGCATTAGGGTTTGTGGTGTATAATGTGTAAAGTTGATATGTCTGTCAAGAGAACTCCCCCCCCCAGTATTACCCAGCCTTAGTTACAACCATGTGCATTGTTTGTGGCAGATGCCAGTTATAAGAAATGCAATGCAACAAGCCAAACAGTAACAATAAATCAAATGTAGGGGAGCAAAGTGGAAATTGAAGGGGAAGGGTTTGGGGTGAAAGAGCCATT